TCGAATGGTTCTTGAGAAACTTCGAAAAAAGCAGCGTCATGTTCAAGTGGATTTTGCAACTCAAAAAAAAAACCACGCAAATCTAAAACTTCTTGTATTCAAGCCTTTTTTGAGAAAACTGCCAACATTTCCCCATCCATGGTTCACTTTCTAAAAAGGTAATTTATTTCTGTCTAGAATGATGTACAAATGAGCGTTATTGCTCATTCTGCCTACGAGAAATGAGCAAAAATGGGACGGAAAACATGAAATTTTGGCATAATCTTGCACCTAAGTGTGTCATATGCAAATTTGGATTGTTTACAGTCTGCACAAAACAGCGAATAAAAACGTCAGTCAAAAACTCTTTAGTATTAAAGTATGTTGAGCAAGAGCAGCCCTTTTGCACAAAACTCCCGAGAACTGTCTATGATGGACCAAAATCCTTAGTAAATACCCAAAAAAAGTTTACCGAGAAAGTCGTCTTTGGGCATCAAAGAATCGAAAAATTGTTCAAGTATTTGGCTTATTCGCAAATAAGAAAACCCAGGAATTACAGATTGTTTACAGCCCGCACAAAACAGCGAATGAAGACCTCAGTCAAAAAAACCTTTAGTATTGCAGTGTGTTAAAAGCTTGCTGAATCTTAGTCAAATATGTCGCTGGGAATATTTTCTCCTTTAGCAGCTCGCACGAACAAATTGGTCTGAACTTTGGGCTCGCCCACAAAAATCCAGAAGTTCTCAGCGGTTTCCATTTTGTGGTTATCGCGATAGGTGTGGCAGCTCACATTGCATTCGGGCCCCAAAAACGTCGGTATCCAAGCCAATGTTTCCACAGCCAGATTTTGACCGGACGCTGTATGCTGGATGATAACTCGGACATCTGGTGTGAAGGAAGTTCCAGTGGTTTCCACCCGTAAATGAGGATCCCAATGTAACACCTTGAATCTGCAGTAGAAGTCCGGAAGTCGGGACAACCGCAAAGCTAGATGGTTCCCAAAAGTGTCCATGGTCAAGTTTTCGCATTGGACATACAGTGGAGGCCCGGCGCTTTCCGAAATTTGAATCATTATGTCCTCACCATAAACCACATGTTCACCTTCCTTGCTCCCACTGCATCCAACAATGGTAAAAGTGTTTCTAATGAACGCCCCTTTTAACGGACTGGCGGTCAGCATGCATCCGTGCTTGAAGTGCTGGCAGGTGTCGATTTCCTTTTCGGTAATCAACCCCGATAGAAACAACCCTTTGGACGAGTCAGTGAATTTCAAATCTTTGCCCAAATCAGCCGTTTTTATCTGGTAGTTCTGCCCGTAGATCATAAAGGCGGTTTCAATGGCCAGCGATGTGGGCTTGAGGATGTTGCGCATCATTTTCTTCGTTTTCTGGATCAACATCTGGCAATGGTCCCGCTTGTAGGCTGTGATGGTGTTCTTGTCCTCTTGGAGCGCCAAGTCTTCGTTCCAAAGCGCCAGCCTGCATGGCAGGGAATAAATGATGCGGTTTTCATAGGTTTGTTGTCTGTCGTCGTCTACTTTGTCGCTGTAGATCATTTTTGGAAGGCTCAATTTTCGGTTCTAGTAGATGTAAAGTGTCATTTGTGTCTACCTGCAGCTGGTTGTTTGCGGCTTCCATTTGGTATTTTATTGTTTATATCACGAGTAATCGACTTGGTTTGGAAGAATACTTTATATGGACTTTTTACTTTTTTTTTGATCATTATTGGATGATTGGAAGAAAACCGTTAATGATACTGAAGCTATGAAAGGAGTTTTTTCGGTGTAGACAACTGTCCTGTGCAAACTGCCCAATCGCTGTTTATTTTAGCTGTATTTTGAGCTTTCCCAGATAGCACAAAATATTACATACATATTTAGGAAATATTTATATGTTTGCTAAATATTTCAGATCAAAAGCAAATATTTCTTAAATATTATTTTTAAAATATTTGTTTCTAATATTTAATTAGCATGAAACAAATAAGTTATTAATAATTTTCTTATTACATAATACTTTTTGTACCTATATATAACAACCTTAACACCCAAAAAGTTACTAATATATTATTTTTAATAAATGTGAACAAACTTTAGA